ACACACACACACACATTTGTCAGGGATATGAACCACGGTGTACTGTTTCAGAAAGTAAGACAAAGTTTCTGCCTACACGTCATGCTTTGTAACCATGTATTCAATAAAACACTTCTCTGAAGACGTCTGCACCTGAAGAAAAGCACACAGGTCAAGTCAAAGGTTCACTTGATAGGTAGAGGGGCGATTAAATTACGCACACGTAGAAACACAAAGCCGTAAACACATTTTGAGTCAGGACGTTGGTGACGAACATACCTCAAAAGCGACTCTACCGTGAGTACCAACATTTAAATTGTCATACTTTATTACAAGACTTGTCGACCGGATCGTGGGAATCATATATGTGTAAGACAACACATGCATAGAGGTAAGCAAGACGTGTGGGTCGTGTGGCGTAGCGGTAGCGTCTTCGGCCCAGACTCGAGAGGGCGAGGGTTCGAATCCTGCCCGATGCCACCGATCTTGTGCCCTTGGGAAAGGCACTTTACACGACTTTTCTCACTTCACTCAGGTGTAAATGAGTACCTAGCTTCGGCTAGGGACGTCCCTCGGATAGGACGTTAAATGGATAGGATAGGACGTTAAAAGTTCCCTTGTTTGGGAGAGCCACACCCCACGCACGTTAAAGAACCCACCGCACTTATCGAAAAGAGTAGGGGACCTTCCCGGTGTGAGTGGTTCAAACCTTACAGTCTGGTCTCAGGTTTGACATCTTGAAGAGGTGATAGTTATCTGTCATGTCGATGAGGAGAGATAGAAATGTGTATGCAACCGTTCGGATTCAATTTGCATAACTTATATGCTAAGTATATGTGAAAATAATAGTATGTGCATGACATGACAACAAGTTCAAAAAAACTTCAAAATATAACATTAGAATTTTTTATGAAAAAGAAATTTGTCGAACGCACGCTGGGCGATCGCCACCAGCGTTAAGCATTCGTTGAGCATTCACTGCGTTGACCACTAGTACTTGATCATCGGAGCGATTACTTCGACTCTGGGACTGAATACCAGCCGACCCAGTCGCCCTTGCTCCCGACCTACCCCTAATCAATGTTGGGGGACATTTTGTAGTGTTTTGCAGAGGCCAGATTCATGAATGTGCAACATTGGCTTAATAAGTGAAACCAACAACTTGAAAGAAACTTCGAGTATAGCAATGATTCTCCATACACATAACGATAGCGAAAAGAAATACTACTACGTGACACACGCGTACATCCATTGATAGAATTGCATAACAAAGGGCGAGGATGAACATGTATCCTGCAATTTATTAATAAGGACGATACAAGATGCCATGAAATTCTAATTTTTAAGTACATCTTAGTAACTTGTAGCAAGCTTTACCCCCCCCCCCCACACACACACTTACTCAACTATACAAGTATAATCGTAACGGTTTCATCTTTCCCCGTGAGGTCAACTTCTCGACCTCAGGAAACACAAACCTAGATCGTGTGCGCAACTTTATACTTCGTTATTATTTCCCAAATGGTTTGCAGTGGTTTGGCTGTCGACATTCTTACATATTAAAGGGGGTAGCATTTGTATACGTATTTCTTGTTGTCAAGACAGACATTTATCGGGCTGGTGAAAGCATACCAGTACTCGGTACAGATCGCTAAGAACAATTAACCGTTAAGCGTATGTGCAAACGTATTCACCAGTTTCACATCCCCAGAATGCAATGCGAAAATAGGGGGGTAACCCTCATTTGCATAGGACTGGAAGGCATCGGAATGATCCTGATGACGTTAAACAGCTTGCTTTTCACTGTGTTTTGAGGTGTTGGGGCATTTTATGCTCAACATTAATTGAATTACTGTTAGTACTATGGGCCGAATCTGACAACAAATAGACAGAATGAAGTTTTTGTGTTCTTTTCAACATGGAACATGTGGTTTGTAACGTTACAACATCAGTATAGCGTTACCACTATAACGTTACAAACCACATATTCCAAAAAAAATCATTCTCTATTTGTTTTCAGATTCAACCCAAAGTAATTTAATTAATGTTGAGCATAAAATGCCCCAACACCTCAAAACACAGTGAAAAGCAAGCTGTTTAACGTCAACAGGATCATTCCGATGCCTTCCTGTCCTATGCAAATGAAGGTTACCCCCGTATTTTCGCATTGCACTCTGGGGATGGGATACTTGTGAATAGCAGTACTCGGTACAGATCGCTAAGAACAATTAACCGTTAAGCGTGTGTGTATTGAAGGTAATGGTAACATCATCCCGAACGAGGCAGTTTGAAAGACGTAAAGGCACGTGCGACACAGCATAAGAAACTATAGACATAGCTCCACTACACAACCATCTCGGATCATTTTACTTTCAGATATAATGGGGAACAGAGGTTCCAAAGACGACACGGCCACACCGGTCTCCACTACAATAGACACATCGGAGGACCAGGCCTTTGGAAAACATGACTTCCCTTTCGAGAACCTGGTTATGGAGGGAGGTGGAGTCCGAGGTGTGGCGCATATCGGGGCACTGATGGTAAATGTGTCACTAATTATAAATATGTGAAACTTAATACATGAGAACTACAGATATGGGTTATAGACTTTATGTTGAACTAGAGTTCCACAATCTCATACCTTCGCTAAATGATGTAAACCCTTCCGGTTGACGAATTATACAATTTTAACAATTGATTTCGCAAATAAGAGCCTCTGTATGGATTACATCAGTTGATCATATTCTCCACCCAACGACAGCTCTCCCATCATGCAATGTTCAGCTACTTGGATATGCAGAAGGTACAGATGGCTTATCATTAAAAAAATATGGATTAGTCGACTAATTTCGTACAGTTTGTCCAAGGAAAAATGTTACAAAGTTTTCTTTGATTTACAAACACGAAATAATACCGAAATAATTAGCTGTCTGTTTTAATCCTACAGCAGCAAGATCACAAACCTTTTTGCGGTTTGTTAGCACGAAGAAAATAGTTGAGTTTTGGAAAGTGGGCACAATTGAAAAGTCGGCACAGTTGAGAAGTCCAAAATGATATCGTTTTCTGGAATCGGATAGGCTTTTAAAAATGATATAGTTTTCTGGAATGGGATAGTTTTAAAAATGGTATAACTTTCTAAGATCGGTAATATTTTACCCCTTTTAAATATGTATCCCATTTTCAAAACATATATGGATTTAATTTTACCTCTTTTAAAAATGCATATACGATCTTTCTGACAATCCTTCGTACATCCGATAGTGCAAAAAAAAACCTGGCGGGCCTTCTTTTTGCAATCTTGCCCTGAGCATAACACAACTTTTACGGTTCTATCCACCAGGTCTTGGAATCTGCGGGAATCCTCAAGAACATCACGAGAGTTGCCGGTACGAGCTCAGGAGCCATATTTGCAACATTGGTGGCCCTGAAACTCACCTGTAAACAAATGGCAGAGGAGCTGGATATTGACATTAAGAAGATGGTATTTACCGGTACGCCGTGGTTCATATTTATTTTGGTTCAGCTACCATTAGAACTGACTTTTTTATGTTTACCGATGGAAAACATATTGTTTACTCAGTTTCTTCCTCCTCTTCTTCTGTTCCAAACACTAACCTCTGACTTGGCCAATGACATGATTTGTTGACGTCTGTCACCATGGTGACTGATGTTGGGTCACATAATGTTGCAATGTCATGGTCTGCTCTGCTCCTATCCTGTCACCAAATACTAGTAGTACATGTATATGAATGTGTTTGAGTACGAATTACCAGAGCAGACCATGAACGAAGGTAAACATTATGCACTTGCTTTGCAAATGTTACTTCTCTAGTTGTATACTGTTTTCTATACGTATCTAATGTCTGTCGGAATGACTTTTTCAGGAGGCATTAAGAAATTGGGCAAGCCTTTCATGTTTTTCCAACGACTTGGCTGGGACACGGGAGAAGGTTTTTACGAGTACTGTGGCAGTGTTCTGGAAAGGCACACCCGGACAGAAAATCAGCCCGGGAACCCCGACATCACGTTTCAAGAGGTATAACTCAAAGTGGTTGACTTTTACAAGCCTTGTTTAAAGTTAAAACTTTTGGTCCAACACAAAAAAGTTCTCTCACGTAGAGCTTTCGACCAGTCACTCTGGTCTTCCTCAGTAGACTGACCCAATGAAGCTTGTCACGTGGCTTCTTTGAAGTGTGACGTCAGCACTGGGTCAAAGGTGAGAGAACTTTTTTTTGTGTTGGACCAAAAGTTTTAACTTTAAACATGTAACTACCAAAACAGATGAACTTTCATGATTTTACAAGCCTTTTTAGTAGTCTTGCGCGATCAAAGGAATGAGCAAAATGATTTGGTATTGTCTCTGTAGAAATACTTTTAATAAAAAAATAGTACTAACTTAAACCTACTACTACAGTCAAGTGTCCATATACATGTATGTTCGGAGTGGTAATTCGGTTATCAAGATAAACAAGAATTTTCATGAATTCAGGAATGGTTCTCCGACACTTCCGTATGCAAATGATGACGTGCGAAGTATTGTCTGCAAAACATTAAAACATATATTTTTTTTCAGCTGTACGAAAGGACAAAAATAGAGCTCTGCATCGTGGTAACAAACCTGAACCAACAGAGGGAGGTATACTTCCATGTCAAAACCGCGGCCGACCTGCCCATCCGTAAGGCTCTCAGGATGTCCATGTCATTGCCAGGTACATACTTTCCTCTTTTATACCTCCATGCAAAATGGAGGTACTGTTTTTGGCGTGTCTGTGTGTGAGGGTCTTATTTGCACAATCACTGAGAAAAATGTAAAATTAGTCATTTTAAAAGAAAGCTTAACATGATTTAGTGAAGGTATGAAATCATGGAACTCTTGTTCCAGTTGTGACTTGTTCCAGCTTAGGCCATGTTGATTTGGATGACATCCTCTGGGAACCCCAAAACTGATGCGAGCGTACGAATAAAAAAAAGGTTTGGTAAAAAAACGCTGCTTTCATTATGAAATCTACGTGGTCATGAAGGTTGAACAAATGACACAGATTGTGGTATGGCGAATAAATATTCTACTCTTTTCTTCATTTCTTTACATTTTCGTCTTTTTCGTTCAATTTTGGCATACTGCGAGATTGGTATCGTTTTCCAATATATGTTTGTGCAACTTAAGGTATATTTTTGCTCATTTTGCAACTATTTTGTACGATTTACAGTATGGTTGAAGACTTTTGTCTTTTTCTTTTGGAAACGGCCGAAAATTTATGCGCGCTCGGATGTCATCCATATAATCAAATCAACATGGTCTTACATGTAGTTCACGCAATTAGACAGGGGATAAACAAAATACTTTCTGCTCGTATCATTTGTAACAATTAGAGAAACATAAACCATGAAAACTCGAGGTACTATTTAGTGTCCAATCTGAGGTTTCGGTCAATGTAGAATTTGCCGCTTTTGTCTGTTAACGCTTGCATTTGGGGTATTCTGTAATCATTTTCGTTTGCCCTCTAATATTCCAGCACTGTTCCAGCCTGTGGTGGAAGATTATTTTGGAGTTAAGGAGTACTTCGTTGATGGGGGCATGGCCTGTAACTACCCTCTCCATTGTTTTGATGGTAGGCATCGATCTTGCTTCTTTAGATAGAATGGCTAAAGAACTAGTTTACTTAATTTTTTTTATACCAAAGAATCGTCTGCTTGATCTTTTGTATTATAGCTATTAAATTAAAGATTAAAATTCCCCTTTTTTGCATCTGGTAAAAGCAGTAAAGTCTAAACAGAGCTAAATGGAGGATTTTTTTAATTATTTTTAAAGATATCTATTCGTATCATATAATGTTTTAGATAATGATAATTTAGATAGATGTTTCTGTGCTTTTATTGCATAGGTTGGTGGCTCTCCATGAAGGAGGAAGATTCCTTCTTCAAAAAGCTGGTACTAGGTCTTGCCGACCTCAACAAAGCTCTGGAAAGATCGGAGCGCTTCGAGCCTGTGAATCCGAAAACGATCGGAATCATGCTGGTAAGTATACTTGAACTTGTCTCTATCAATCAGTAAGAAAAGGTACGGTATCTCGATGAAGGTTAGACATATAGGTAATACAATATGCCAAAAAGCAGTTACTCAAGCAACTGGATATGATTTTGGAAACGTCAGATGTTTCAGGTAGCATCCACTAGCTTTCGTCAGTGACTCACTGACTCAGTCACTGACAAAAGCTAGAGGATACTAGCTACAACGTCTGACCGTTACCAAAACCATATCCAGTTACTTGAGTAACTGCTTTTTGGCGTATGGTACGGTATCATTTTATAAGCCGCATCAGTCTGATAGATTTACAAGGCGACAATACTTTATTTATTTATTTATTCATCTTCAAGACACATGGGTGGTCCCTTCAGCCCCTTGGGGCTGATTTCCAAAGGAGCCCAATACAGAAAATAAGGTAATATAAAATAATAGTAATTAACGTAACAGTGAAATCATAAATCAAAATACAAGGTCATGTCAGAGGTGAGATGTCAGAGGTCAAACTCCAAGTAATACAAACTTGGGAATAGTAGGTCATAAATGATAAAGTACTTGGACATAGTAGTAATAAATCATATATACAAATCAAAGAAATAACAAAAAATACTTAATCATAATCGGTCGGTGTTCGAAAGGAGTGAAGTGTCAGTCAGAAATTCAGTACTAATCATATTTCATTCTCTCTTTAAATGATTTAAGAGTGGGTGCTTGTTTTGTGTAAGTGTTTAGTGAATTGTAAGTTACTGCCGCTCTATATGCAAATGTACGTTGGCCTGCTGTAGTTGGGTCTGTGTAATAATTGTGCTTGTCTAGTGTGGTAGTTGAATTAGTACTTAGTACTTACTATTAGTGGTAGTTGAATTAGTACTTAGTACTTACTATTAGTGTATGATTGAAGTAGTGACCTATCGATACTTTTTGTCAAATCCTCCTAACTACATGACGTTTCCTTGTTACGTGACGTACAGTATTCCGATGACGATATCGAGCTGTTCGAGCAAGAATTCTGGAACCGCCTGACGCCAGAGGAAAGGGAATATGACAGGCCGACTACTGATACTGAAGCCGCAAGGTACGGAAAATATTTCTAGCAGAAACAAAAAAGAATATTTCCGCTTATTCATCATACAGATATTCATATCGAAATTCAATGCAGCGCTCACCATTAAATATGGAAATGTGGGGTCGTGTGGTGTAGCGGCAGAGTGCGCGACTCGGAACTAAGAGTCCCGGGTTCGAGTCCTGACATGCCACCGATCTTGTGCCCTTGGGAAAGGCACTCTGCACGACTTTCCTCACTTAGCTCAGGCGTAAATGAGTATTGTCCTGTCATGTATTTGTCCCCTGTGTTGGTGGCGGCATTAATATAAGTTGAAAAAACTTGAGTGTGTCGTCACCGCGTCTGGTGATTACATGTTGGAATAAAAAAAAATATGGAAACGTTTTTGTTTCTTTGATTTCTTGGTCACTTTTATTTCATATTTAGGGAATACTACAAGAAGAAGGAGAAGAAGAAGAAGGAGATAAACAGGAAGGAGATTCGGGAATATGTCAACAGATTTCTGACAGCTCTGAAGAATAAAAAAATAAACCCCGATTCACCAATTGACAGGAAAGAACTGGACAGTTATTTTGTCGAGGTATGATTACTTTTCAGATTCATTTCACATGTTGTATCTGATTAGGCCATGTTGATTTGATTATATGGATGACATCCCCTGGGAACCCCAAAACTGGTGCGAGCGTGCGAATAAAAAAAGGTTGGCCAAAAAAAAAGTTGCTTTCATTTTGAAATCTACGTGGTTTTGAAGGTTGAACAAATGACACAGAGTATGGTTTGGCGAATAATCTAGTCTTCAAACTCATTTCTTTACATTTCCGTCTTTTTCGTTGGATTTTGGGATTCTACGATATTAGTATCGTTTTCCAATTTGTTTTCCAACTTACGGTATATATTTGCTCATTTAGCAACTGTTTTGTACGATTTACAGTATGGTTGAAAACTTTTTTTTTTGAAACGGCCGAAAATTCATGCGCGCGTGGATGTCATCCCTATAATCAAATCAACATGGCCTTTTAAAAAAAATCTAAAACTATAGTAACAAAATTGTTTGTAGATGAATCTGCCTATATATTTTAAAGAGTCATTGACTGTAAGCAATTCTATAACGAGAAAATAAAAAAAACTGGCAAATAAAGAAATTCCTTGTTGCATTGAAGATTACATGCTTCACCAATGGAATCGCCATTCTATTCTATTTAACACTCATATAATGAAGAAGATTACCTTAAGATCGCAAATGTACGTCACAGATCTGCCATTACTAAACTAAGAATCAGTTGTCACAATTTGCGAATTGAATCAGGAAGACATAACCGCACTCCTCTAGAGCAAATAATCTGCCAATACTGTAGTTTAGGTAAAGTAGAAGACGAGGTACATTTTATTGTGGATTGTTCCATGTATGACAGCGAAAGAAACGTTCTTTTCGATTTTGTGTCAAGCAAATACTCCCAATTTAAGTATTTGAATAGTATAGAGAAATTTATATTCCTTGTAGTCTTAAACAAACCAGCTCTAACTACTCACACAGCCAGAAAGCGAGAGGAAGTTGAAAGTACCTGTGTACTATAGCCGTTTTATTATCAACATTGATGATGTACTTTGTCAATATGTGACCTGTCTTTAGCCCAGTGGGGCAAAATTTACAATAAAGGTCTTCATTCATTCTATTTAACAAAAGGATGGGACCATGACGGATGCGGAAAGAAGAGATTTCGTCCGTCAACTCTTTGACCAAATGGACGCTGACAAGAATGGACAGGTTTGAAATTGTATAGTCTTACAGTGTCAACTGTCACTGTTCGTCTTTGTAACTTTCTTTCTTTAAAGTATTCCAGTAGTTAGTAGTCAGTTAGTATTCAAGTATTTAGTAGTCAGTACTAAAGACACATTGCGTGCCTTAGATCTGAGGAGGCATATGTTTTTGTAATACATAATATTACAAAATTTAAATATCTTAATATTAAAATATTATCAAATATTACATGATTATTTTGTAATAAATAATAGGGGATGATCAATACTGCCGATAGACATTAGAACCTTCTTCTTCATGAGTCATGCTTTATTTTTGACTACCTAGAGAATACGTACATTAACAAACTTACTTAATATGTTTCCCTTTTCAGCTAACCTATACAGAAATCGAACAATCCTTTGGCAAGAATCTTGTCCAATGGTTGCTGACACACGTAGGCTGGTCCGAAGAACCACACGACAAGAGATGGCGCATGGTGGACTACCTCAAGAAGTATTTGGACCTCTTCTTTGTCCGCAACAAAAAATTCTTCCACCAGGTAGGTGTATAGCCAGCTCTCCTGCAAATTAGCATATAATTTGCATAATAGTAATCTAATCTAATTATCTAGTTGTCTGTGTCAAACATAATGCAAAATAAGTTTGTAATTGTTTTCTGTTTTTATCATGTACTGTAGGCTGAAGACGTGCATAGAACTATTGGTGTGGACACCAAATACGTGAAGGTGACAAGCTTTGATCTGGAGGACGAGGACAAAATGTTCCTGTACAAGGTTTGCTGACTACTAACTTAAAGCTTAGATTGTCCGACTATCTTAACTTATACTAATCATTATCATTATTGCACTGTGTTTATAAATATAAGTGTTTATAACCTACATTACCTTACTTCATTGTCATTAATTTATACCGTATATTATTTGATTGTCCTTATTATATTATTTCCACTTTCTATTGTATTATTTCCATTTATTGATTATATTTAATTTTGTATAGTTTAGAGGAGAAGAGCCTAGTATAAGCATTCCATGCTTCTCCCCTCCGGCCTCCTGCACCTGTTTTTATCCTTGTTTTGTATTATTACTGTCTGTATTTTTGCAAACTAATAAAATAAAAAAAACGTGCCCATATGTACCTTGACAT